AGTAAGAAGTCTAGATCTTCTCTCACTCACAATAGCTCCAGCATGTGAAAAACAGCGTTCGCTGCTGGCTGATGTCGAAACGATTCCCAGAGTGTCTAAAGCTATTTTACTAAGCTTGGGGTATTTATTTTTGTTATTCGACCACCAAGTTAGAATATTTTCCCGCATTCCGATGCACGGTTCGTCGAGATATCTTTGGAACTCGTTATTGAACTCGATCTCGTCTTTCCTACAGTCCTTTTCGGCCGAACGTATTCTGGACCGCATCAGTATTTCCATCGGAGTCAGATCATCTGTTAAAATTTATTATGCGCATTATTTATAAAAAGTTCATTTTTAAGTTGGTAGTATGAAAAATTAAAAAAACATGTGTATTATTTACCTTCATTCATTGCAGTGGGTGTAGGATCTACCTCTCTAACGGAATTGTTAGCTCCAGTGAATTGCTCAAAAACTTCACTTATACGAAGATGCTCCTCATATTCCTCATAGAATAATTTATTTTTGAACTGCGGGTTTAAAGTCATCGCAATCCATAGCAAATCGTTATCCCAATAAACTTTGAGTCGATTCTAAATTAATTAAAATAATTACAAGTTGAATTATATCTCTTTTTGAGGATATAATACATAAAATAGCATGTGAATATTAAAAATTTTTACTTACATCAAAACTGTTGCGCAATTTCAAAGTAGCCAGCTTTTGCGTTCCAGCAGCACGTTCAAATCTTTTTGTGAGCTGATGTTTTAATACCGTTATTACTGGAATAATTCTACCGATAGTGCTGTACTGCTCGCCACACATAAATTTAGTTGCATCCTTGACAGGAGCAAATAAATCGATGTATATATCAATTTTATTATAATCTGACGAATCCAAACGAGGAATATTTGGTCGCTCACACCATACTCCTTCCAAAGCCACTCTTAATTTTTTAATGCGTGCAAACATGTCGTAGCACGAGTCCCACCTTGTCCTGCAATACTGAATTAATTTTAGTGGCTCCTCTGAGCGCTCCGAGAGTCTCGTTTGGATATCGTCTAAAAGACGAGAGGAGTTAGTTGAGCGAGCGAAATGTCCAACTACAGCACTAGCTTTTAGAATCAGAGCACTCAAATTTGGAATTTTTTCCTTGCAGTCGTCCACGCAAAGTTGAAGCGTATGGGTAAAGCACGGCAGTCTTTCCCATTCTTGCGTCATTGCAATTGCTGCTCGAACATTTGAGGCGTTATCAGTCACCCAAACTATTTTGGATTTGGTACTCAGATCGATATTCCACTCCGACAAAATCTCCAACAGATGAGAATGGATATTGGTTGCAGTATGTGTACTACACAATAATTTTACCCCGAAACAAATATTTTGGAGGCAGAAATTTTTGTCCAAGTAGTGCATAGTCAGTGACATATAATCGACGGTAGCTCGAGACGTCCAACCATCCATCGTGAACGATAGAGTTCGCACATCTACACAATAATAAAAAATAAAGGCAAGAAAAATAAATAAATTTTATAAAGACGATTTTCCAAATCAATATTAAATACCTCGTAAACCCAATTCTAATTTAGTACGTAAAAAAACATCTTGCTACTTGGCGATTTTTGGAATTACATTTCTTGAGAATGTCGTTCTTGCGGGTAACTCATAGCGAGGTTCTAACGTTTGGATTAGATTTTTAAATCCATCGTCTTCGACGATGCTAAAAGGTTGCAAATCTCGACTCATCATAAAAGCAATAGCGTTTGTAATTAGCTTACTTCTTGTAGAATCATTTGGAAGGGGTTGAACTTGTACTCTTGGAGTTTTATTTACTTGAGTGTCGTCAGAAGATCCATGTTTTCGATCGTAGTGCCGTTGCAAAGCGGACGTACTTCCTTGTGAAATAATAATTTCTTTTTCGCAAATCAGACAACTAGCTTTAAGTCGACTTATTCTTTGAAAGTTCTGCCAAACACTGCTTTTCAATTTTTTTTGGACTGGTTCATCGATTTGCGATGGGTCATTTAAGTTTAATGTCTCCTGTTCTTCTTGTATTACTACCTCTTGACTCGATGAAACAAGCGTTTCTTGAATTCCTGAATTTTGTGACGATCGAAAAAAATTTATAAAGAATTAATGAAAAAGAAAAAACTTGGGTACTCGAAAAAAACTCGAGTACTCGAAAATAATCGGGTACCCGAAAAAACTCGAGTACCCGAAAAAACTCGAGTACCCGAAAAAAACTCGGGTACCCGCAAAAAACTCGAGTACCCGAAAAAAACTCGGGTACCCGCAAAAAACTCGAGTACCCAAAAATAACTTGGGTACCCGAAAATTCGAGTACTCGACTCGAACTCGAAAAAAAAACTCGACCCGATCGGGTCCGAGCCGCTGGGCACGCCAAAAAAATTTCACCTTTTTTTGTTAACGAAACGGAATTTTATTTTGAGAATTGACCATATGAGAAGTTAGCGGCGAGGTAGGGAAATTGTGCAATTTTGCCGAATAATGCCTCGCGGGCGAGGTTTTAGAAACTTGAGATTTTTTTGCATTTTTTTCAACATAAGCTTATATGGATGAATCGTAATTGTCATACCTACTGACTAAGCAATCGCCCCGGGTTTTTTTTTCAATTTTCATCGCGCACCGAAACAAATGCGAAAGTTGCAGAGGTGTGAGTTTTCAAAATTTCACGCAAAATTAAATGACTTTTCGACATCCGATTTTTCAAAAATTGATTAGGTGACAGTTAAAATTTTGTCCCACAAATCAAGTTATCACTTTGACGCTACGTAAAGAAAGATTTCTTACCGTTGTAGTGATATCTAATTACAAGCACTGTTCCGAGAAATTTTTCACTACACTCGTCGATCACTTCTAAATACTTTTTTATCCACAATTTTTTTTTCGTAAACTCGATAGTTATGTAGATAAAAATTGTTGAACGAAACCAGGGCAACGTTACATTTGGCAACAACTAAGATAAGAACGTTCAACAATGTTCAACTCGATGACTATTGACTTTACGAAAAACACGTCACGATTTTTGGATTTTTCCAAAAATGGCGATACACACGAGCTGGGCTACGTGAGTGTCAGTTTGGGTCTTGTAGATTAATTACTTCAACGATTCACGAGCAGGACTACGTGGGTTACTGCTCTGGTTTACGGATGAATTTTTTAAGTAATATACCCGAGCTGGGCTACGTGGGTGTCAGTTTGCGTTTGCATTTTCCTGCATTTTTGAAAATTTTTCAAAAATTTTCATTTAATGTTTTCTCAGAATTTATTAATAATCATTTTTTGAATGATTTTAATACCGCGTTCGGCGGCTAGCTCAACGCGTGTCATGCAGCCAACTTCCTATGACACAATTTTCTGCGTTGCAGCTCACTTCAGTTGGCACGCTCGCTGGTGCTCCGAGTCTGCCCAAGTCTGTCGACAAGTTATGAGTTGACTCGTGTGTGTGCGTCAAAGCAGCCGCCAACTGCTGCCGCATTTAGACACGATTTAAAAGGTTCACAGTGCTCTTCGGTGTTCGCGCGATTACTTTTGTTACTTCTGCAAGAGTTTATCCGTACAAGAGTAGCCATCGCAGACAGCAAAAGATAGATTGCTTCTGTGACAATACCTTTTGCTCGGACGGTAAAATTATTTAGCCGCGGCGACAAAAATATTGGCTGCCACAGCAAAACATTTTTTACTGATCAACTGTCCACTTTCGCTGGACTTACGTATACATTTTTTTTCAGTCTGCAGTAAATAGTGGTAACTCAATATGATAGTTGCAAGGACAAAATTCGTTTTTGTTACCACAACCAAAACCGTTTACTGAGCGTACGTCTAAGGACTTGAGATGATGCAACAACTGCGATGATTTGCGATCGACGAGTTCCTCAAAGTGGAGCAGTGGCCGGACACGCTGTTCCTCCGATGAACCTCATCTCGATGAACTGTAGAAGAGATGATGTAGAAATATTTAGTTTGCTCTTACGTGATGTTTTCGAAGGCCAATTGTGCCTCGGTTTGCTCAAATCAAACTGCCGGTTTATCCAGCCAAAATATCAGCAATCACACGGTGAACTAGAGGATCACCAAATCCAACAGAGTTTGAGTTGAAATTCATGCATTTATCAAATAATATTTATATTAAATCATGTAAAAATGTTTTCATTCATAAAACTTACTTTTCTTTCTTTCTTATCTATTTCTGACACTCATCTGGAGTGAATCTGAATCCAGATGAGTGTAGGAAATAGGTGAAGAGAAGGGATTTATGAGTTATACAAATAATAACATTTTCATATAATTAACATCAATATTTATTGTTTGGTAAGTTAATTTTAGCTCAAATTAGTTCGCTCTCTGAGACTTTTTCAGTAAACGAATTGAGTTAAATTGTTTATTGGTGGAAAAAGTGTTTTGGACATTAAAAACTCAAAGTATCAATACTTCTCAGTCAGTTAGACTTGACTGTGTAAACCTGATACCATTATACGCTAATATATGGTATTTTATACATTATATTATATTATATACTTCGTGGTACTTTATAATGGTTTCCAGGGCCCATTGGAATAAAGTAACTATAGGGAGCTTGATTATTGTGTACAAGAAGAACTCCAAACAAGTTTTGTAAGGATCTGTGACCCAAAGATGAAAGGCTCTCCTTGGGAGTTTCAGAAAGCCGACAGACATATAATACCTTGATGTAGTAATATTCCCATACCCAGAATTTTTTTTGTACGTTTATATTATGCGACTCAAAGTATGAAAAATACCCTGAATTGCAAAGTTTTTTTCTAAATTTGATTTTTAATTTAAAAGTTAGTGATGCAAACTAATCTCTAATGACGTTAAGATTGGATTATTGTTATTTATTTTTGTGTATAGTTACAGTAACCAAATAGAACTTTTGAAAAATTTCTCATTAATTGACGATAATAAATACAATCATTCTTTTTTTCATAACGTATTTTTTTAAATAAATTATAATAACGAATACTATATAAAATTTTCAGTATCTGGAATAGCCTATCCTGGGGAGTTGCTAGTTATAATGGGATCATCAGGAGCTGGAAAAACTACTTTATTAAATGTTTTAACTTTTCGTTATCATTCCGAAATGAACGTATCTGGCAGAATTGCAGTAAACGGGAAAAAAGTGAATTCTAATGTGCTGGCATCTCAAATGGCTTATGTTCAGCAAGATGATTTATTTATAGGTACGCTGACAGTTAAAGAACATCTTTTATTTCAAGCTCTTGTTCGAATGGATAAAGAAATACCATATCAACAACGCATAAGGAGAGTAAATGAAGTCATATCAGAGGTAAAACTTAAAAAAATTGTATAATGCTAGATGTCGTGACAATATCACTTCAAGTGGTGACAATTTTTTAAATGAGTTTCCACTAAATACATACAATAAATAATAAGTAAATCAATTTATTCACGAAGAAAAGACTGAATTTTTTTGTTGGTTTTCGAAGCAATTTGTATTGTAGTTTAAGAACATTTCGTATGCACCTATTTCAATGCAGAAACTAAGCTCAGAATTTTGATTTTTTGCATAATAAAAGTGTTATAGCCATTGTAACAAACACAACTTGAAAATTTTTGCCAAACTAAGACGGTAGAACCTTTCATTCAACAGAATTCTACTTTCTGCAACTATAAAATTTTCATAAATTACGACCACATTGATTTGTCAGCCGGATAAACATGCAAAATTTCCCCTCCGTGACCTGTCCTGAACTCAGAATTGATTGTTTTCACTCATTGAACACATTTTTACAAATATCCAGCAATATTGTGGTACATGGACCCTATTTTAGATCTTAAATAAATTTTTTGTACGTCACTCGTCATCATAAAAATTGTACATAAGTAACAAACGTGTCCTTAAATTATGTGAAATTTCACATCATTTCAAATAAAGGGCCAGTAAACGTGCTAGGCAGTCATTTTGACCTCTCTAACTTTATGAGGGTCATCTTTCAGAACTAATGTACTCGATTTTTACCCGTAGAATATTCAATTCTTAATTGCAGCTTCGCTATAACAATAGTTGCACACGAAAATCCTAATAGTAAAATGAAGGGTCCCCTCTATAATCGACGAATTTTCGAGCTAGCACTTTTTGGTTTTGACTCTGAGGGCATAAAAACGTTCGGTTTTACAAACAATTTTTGTGGGTGGTCGGAAATAGTATATTTTGCACCTAGGGAGTGAAAAACTGGAAAGTCTCAGAGCACGTGTAAATTATCATGTTGTACAATGTCACGTTGTCGTAGATGAAAAGTCCTGAGAAGGACGGATGCCAAGCTAGGCTGATGGTCAGAGTGGTCAAAGGATGACCGTACGCTGACCCACGTTCTGATGACGAGGATCTTAGAAAGAGACTACGTTGAAAGACTTTTGTGTGGCCCTGGAAAGGACCGATTGTCTGTTGTAGTCGCCTAGAAGCGCCTTCTCCGCTCTCTTCTCAGCTCTGCTTCTCTTCTAGCCGAGGGCCTCCTGGCGGGTGAGGAATAAGAGTTGCAAGGAGAACGTGGCTCAGCTTTTGGCTTAGGAGCACGCTTAGCCGGGCAGAGCGAGATAGCTGGCCTTGGTAGTTTGTGTAGTTGTGGATGAGAGGCAACGTATTCGTCAAGAGCGCTGGCGGGTCGTAACGTTCTGTCCTGAGTCGTCTTCTTCGCTACCGACACTTCCCACAGTGGCGGTCGGACCGGTGGTACCGTGACCCTGGTCAGTTGGTGTTGTCGTTGACACTTTTGCTCGTCAGACGACTGTGGCTCAGTGACCGTCCGGAGAGCGCGGTTAGCAGATGCTGTGGATTGAAGTGGCGCGGCCGTGAGATCGACCACTGGCTCAGGGTCGGCTTTTCTTCTTGCTACAGTCCTCTTCCACGGATGTGGGCAAGGCACTGGCAGAGGGAGATAAGGCCACGTGCGCAGCAATGAGCACGAGCGGCTGGTATAGGTGGTCCCGGGCAGTGAAATCAAACCACTAAGGGTCTTGACCTTCTCAATGGCTCGTTGACGAGTCTTGACGATATCTTCGCCAGCCGGCACAGCCTGTATGACGCAGCGTCGTTCCAAAGCCCCCGACACGAAAGGATGACCTCGTCGCAGAAGAACAGCCCTCCCTCTCTGTTTTCTTTGGATTGGCGCCGTGATCGATTTCCCTCTTCGGGTCGAGACAATCGGAGGCGACAAAAAGACTCGAGTACGAGTCCGACTACTTTTCTGTTTTGACTTTTTGCAAAGTCAAACAGTCAAAAATAGCTTGACAACTGTTTACTCACTTTTCTGTTTCCACTCGTACAAGTTGAACAGTCAAAAGTTAAGAAGACAAAAGTCCAATCACTTTTCTATTCTCACTTGCAACAAGTCGAACAGTCAAAAGCTGATTGAATAAGGTCGAAAGGCACTTATACTAGTACTCTAAACTCGACCTTTTCTCATGCGGATACGACTTTTTTCTGGCGCCGCGCCACCTGGCGGCCAAGTCGGAAACTTGCAAAAGTAAAAAGTGGGGAAAGGTCGTGAAATGACAAGGCGAATATGTTTGTTGCAATAAGACCAAGTTCACTATTGAATGAAGTCCCTAGGTCGCAACTCTCAAGAACTCGTCGTCGCGAACGCGAGGACGAGAGTCGATGTGCTCTGGCTGGCAGCCGAGAGACGACTTCGCTTTGCGTGGCCGGGCACCTCGCTTATATAGGAAGCGAGTGCGCGCTGATTGGCCATCGGCGCAAAGGTGGGGACGAGTGCTGCTGTGTACGTCGCCAGAGTGGGGACGCACGCAGCCGTGCACGTCGCTCGGGTGGGGACGCACGCAGTGGTGTGGCAATGCGTACGAGGGTAACAATCATCCGAGGCGAAGCCGAGGCTGATAATCACGTGCTCTGAGACTTTCTTTTTTCGCTACATAATGACAAATACAATTTTTTATGAATCCCCCAGCCTAAAGTAACATTTTGGTTTTGCTCAGTGGGAGTAAAATGTTACTTCAGGTTGGGATAGCACAAAAAAAAATTGTCAGCTTTGTTGTCATCGTGAAACTAGATAAAAGTGCGATTTGTCCCCTCGGTGACAAATTTTCATGTTTGCAACAAAAAAATAAACGCATTAGATGATAGACGATAAAAAGTGAATATTCCATGAAAAACAAAGAATATAGTGTCAGAATCTACGGGGGTCCGTAAAAATTAAACTCAAGATAAAAGAAAGTATGTTCTTCGGTTTTTTCAATATTGTCCATTTTACCCACTCCAAATATTACACTTTTGAAATAATGCACCACATAGACGAAATATTAGATAAATTCCGCATAAAAGATGCATAACCTATGTGTGTTCCTGTAGATACAAATGTAATTTTGAAACCTGCAGAGCCAGGATCAGGCAATGAGACATCTGTATTATTTAGAGAAGCTGTCGGGTAGTCTATGTTTTGCGAAGTTCACAAGATCATTATTATTTTATTGAAACGGTTAAAAAAGATAGCTGTGTATTGCATAAATGTGAATGTAATGTATGTAAAAACACGAGGCGGACCGAGCCCAGTGACGAGTCAGTTATATCGCAGACTCGGAGCGAGCTATAGCCTCGAGTTAGCTTTTTTTCATATATACAATAAAGCTGCTACACTTACATTTCAGTCATCATTTGTGTATTACTTTTATTTGCTCCCCTGTTCCCTTATTTAACAGTGAATTAAGTATAAAATCAAAAATATACTACAGCGTCGATACGCGAATGCATGAAACAAAAGAAACGATGCACACGCGTGTAAATGAATAACTTGATTTTATCGAGGATGCGGTGGATGAGAAACACAGGGCAAACATACACGCGGAATTACAAGTCACTGCATTAATAAGCGAAAAACCAATACTCAACGTACTGGCACAGCACTCTCCGACACGCAGAGGGTCAGGCAGTTTCTGTAGCGAACTTAGGCCTGCCTCGTTTCGTAGAATACGTGTAATACTTACACGTGAGCCGTGATAACTTCTGATTTTGGACTTCAACTGGCTCACGTGAATTTTATCTTACATGCAAGTCGATGGGCCTTGCGTAGCGTGCAGCATCTTATTATCTCCGCACAATCGTTTTGGAGACAAAACAGTGTTGTTATAGCGTCTCAAGGTGCTCAGATTTTTAAGTTTAAAGCATAGCGCGAAATTAAGATCGTTACTTGCCCCCCCCCCCCCCNCCCCCCCCAATTCACCGACTGTGTGAATGTACGAACTTTAATATGCTTATTCAATGCGATGATTGGCACGTAAGAGAAAAAAGTCTCGACTACCGGGCCCTCGAAATCATGTGTGTGGGTATTTGCACGTGCTTATTTAGAAAATGGTGATGGTAAAAGTAATAAATGTAAAAAAATATAAAAAAGTTTTGAACAGGTACTCCTGCATTCCATTCACATCGGTTGGTCCCAATTTTTGATGTTGATCTGCAACACATCGTTGGCAAGGATCCTACACAGAGGAGATGTTGGCCGCTTCACGTTGTCGTCTGGCACTTTTATGGCCAGTGTACCAAATGAACGAGCTATCCACTGATCCTTGTATTTTCGTTTGAGTTGTCGGTCACGTTACTGATCTTGGAGGTATTCCTTCTCAGTGGCTTTTAGGCGACAGCGAGCTTGTATTTAAGCTTCTGTGACTGCTTGGCTCATCTTCACTTGGTTTTGAGTCTCCTTCTCTTCGAGTGCACACTTTGTGTTTCACACTATGTATCACACTTTGGCGATTGGCCCACCCTGACTTATATTCCTATGGTAAAGTTTCTTTAAGAGCTTGACGTGTTCCCTCTTTTAGATTCGATGGCAGTTCCATGTTTTTTTTTTCTAAAAACAGCCAACAACCGAAGAGTTGTAGTATCTCTGGAAGTCCGAGAGATTTGTGTAATCTCTGGTGATTCGGGATAGAACACGTCACTTGGGTCTTGGTGACTCTGGGTAACCGAGAGTGTCGCACTGCTCCGGAGGTCCGGGAGATGTGCTCGGTTCAAGAGCCCACGAGCCAATCTGGTAGCGGCCCGGCGCGCCGGCTTATACCGATGTCGATCCGCAAAGCTCGGTGTAATCTGCAGTGAGCGTCTATAATAATACGTGACTTGCGTATATCAGTAGGAGACCAACAAACCATCGGCCTTTTTCAGGGCCACACAAAAAAGAAAACGTAGAATCGATCTGCACTCCGCTAGCCACTGCTCCCAGGTATAAAATAAAATAGTAGGCTAAGTTATTCGAGCAACAAAATGGTAAATCTCATGTTGCTAGGTCAAATTGGCCATAGCAACCTGTGCATCTGCCGAAATCGCAGAAGTGGGCAAAAGTGTTGCTTATTATAGCCTACGCACGATGCGAATGTGAACAATTTTGCCGGAGAAATGGAGAAAATATTTTTAATTTAATTTTTCCTTTTAATTAAATGTCATTTTTTATTATTATTCAAAAAAGCAAAATTATATCCACTACTTTGGATCGAACCAGCTCCCAAAAGTCAAACGCAAAATACAAAGATGGTCGCTTAATCATTTGACTACTGTTACGTGGGAAGGGGTTAAATAAAAGGCGAAATAACTAATTAGGCTCAAAATATATCAGAGGGGAGGGGCCGTCCTCGTGGTGTCTCCTCGTCGCTTGATGTACCGATACTGCCGCCGCTGATGAGCTATGCTTATGACTATCATTGTAGTGCGCCGCGTCACTGGTGGGGCCTTGTCGTCTCACGTGACACTACGAAGAGTTCACACCAATTGGGCTTAATATTGTTAATGTATTACAGCTTTAGGTTGCTCGCTCGTCCCTCCTTGAAGTTAGATTTGGTATCACATCAGCCAGACTCAATCACACCTATAGTTCTGTGCTTCTTTATATGTTTATCTTTTTCGATAATGTATGGACTATTAATAATTTTATTTTAAAAAATACTCAAATCATTAAAAAATCTTTCAAAAAAATCTTATAAAAATGTAATTATATTTTTATAGCTGGCACTAACGAAAAGTAGAAATACCGTCATTGGGATAGCTGGGCGACTTAAAGGCATATCTGGTGGTGAAATGAAGAGACTTTCATTTGCTTCTGAAGTGTTGACAGATCCTCCTCTAATGTTTTGTGATGAACCTACTTCTGGTCTCGACTCATTTATGGCTCACCAGGTCATATCAGTTCTGAAAAAATTAGCTGGTAAATAAACAATTTTTAATATTTATTAAACTTGACGTCACTAGCGTCCATTTAGGCGAAAAATAATTTAAGAAATCGCTCGAGGTGTTACGTTAGAATGCATGCAAGAAATAACCTGATTTTTTGCTATAATGAATTGTGTTTTTGGGAGTATATTATACATCGTATTTTGGAACTAGATTATGAATCGTGTTTTGAGTGACATTACTACGTTGCTAATCGTTCTTTACACATTCTGATTTCAATAATTTCTTTTATTACATCTACTTAATTTTTTTTTCTTTAATGTCGACTTGTCCCGGGGTCGAGTTGACGCGGGGGTGAAAAGTCGTAGACCCGTGGTTGGATTAACGTTTAATCATTGATTTTTTCTAGATAAGAGAAAGTAACAATGATCACAATCATTATTTTCACTCGTTTTTTAAACTTGCTATTAAATTATCGCATCACAATTTGTTGCAGCACGTGGAAAGACAATTATAACGACACTGCACCAGCCATCATCTGAAATCTTTAGTATGTTTGATAAAATATTGTTAATTGCCGAAGGTAGAGTTGCATTCATGGGCACAAGTGATGAAGCTTGTAATTTTTTCAGATCGTAAGTAATTGTACTAATTTGAAATATTAGTAAAATATTATAATAATGATCTTAAGTGAAAATACGACAAAAGTTATAACATAAGTTACTATGCCAGAATATACATAGTCGAAATATGTCCCATGATCTCATGTAAAATCTTACGTGGGACTATAACCTATTTTCGTCCCTTAGGAACCTAAGCAACATGTATGTTTTCTTTTATACACTTTAGTCCCCGAGACCTGGAAAAGGGAGAAAAGCAAAACGAGAAGATCAAGAGCGATCAAGAGATCAGAGATCTAGAATACGAGAATACTAATCACTAGATTGTTGCTCATCAAGAGTACACGACGAGAAATATCGAATGAGTCGATATGTTCAGTCCTTCCTGAAATATATAACGCATGCTCGTAGAAGTCGGCTAACAACATCTAACACGACACATCGCATCCGTGGGCGCGATACATCGTGATACGCAATCCTCATTCGAAACGCCGGCCGGCACGTGCGCTTATTTTTGCGGGTTCTTTTTATTATTGTTGCATCGACACGTCCACGTGAAGTCGCCACTAAGATGTATCGTTCAAGGGGGCGCGTTGGGCGCTCGCATGATTCTACGTGCATGTCATTCCCAGTGGTCCTCACTGTCGTTCGATAGCTCAGAGCTACAACACGCATCAATTCATACAAGCAAAGAAAAATAAAGAGAGATTTTTTTGTAACGACTTTTTCCTCTTCAAACCAGTGCCTTATTATTTCGCATTCACCTTCATTACGAGATTTGAAAATTATAATAGGATCTCGACTAACACGATACAATGCCTTTCTCGTAAAGTACCATGTAACAGATGACAAGAACAAGACGATGAAAGCAGTCGGCCATTATCACTGATCTGCTCGTAAGCAAAGCATGTGCGAAATCGTGTTGTGAAGAAAGAAATAACGAAAGTGTAAAGTCAAAGTGTGAAAAGTGATCTTGAGAAGTATCTCTCCACCTTCTGAATACTCCTGGTGACGACGTCCAACATCGTGGAAGCTGGCCACCAAACTTGTCGATGAAGAAAAAAGAAATAGAGTAAGCTAACAATTAAGTAACCTATAAGCGTAAAACCACGAGCTCTCTTGCGCATCAGTAGAGTTTCNCCCCCCCCCCCCCCCCCCCCGTGACCCCGCGTTCCTCCGAGACTTTTTCCTGAGTGTTAATTGCTCTCCGCTAAGCCAGACGAATCTGTAGAAATAATAAAGACGTGAAGAATTATATACTTGAAAATACAAAGTTGTTAAAGTTAAAATAACGTATTGAATTATCATTATTTCTCTATTTGTATTTCACGGTCCACGTGCCGCATATCACGTGGTGGCGCCCTTATTTACATTGACCAACGAACTAGCAAATCATTTTTGTAATTCAATAAACTTCAATTATTCTTTTTTACAAGTCTCAAAAACGAGATGTTCGAGCTCTGTTATTTTGTTTTGTTTGTGATATGTTAGACAATTGTACTTAAACATTTATAGTTTGTCTATAAATTTGACCCGAAAGTGTGACCCTACGCTGTACCTTTGTGCAACTCATAGTCAGCAAAAAGTCTTGAAGTATAGTTTTATTTTTCGGATGTGATCTGCAAATAATTTATTATAGCTGCACAAATAAGTGCATCTGCGCAACCCAGCCTTCATCAAGTTTTCATCGAGCCGTCACCAGCCAAAGGACATCACAGGCAGCCAACGAGAATAAGTATGTACTGCTGTAGTCGAACACTTGGGTCGATTCTTGAGGCTGCCCACAGATAGATAGATTTATGGTAGCAGCTTCAGCCTACTGGCTTAGAAGCCGGGGCCACCCACTCACCACCTATGTGTGGGGGTGTTTGAGGCTGCCCACAGTCCGCCCGTACTTGCGTTGCTACGGATTGCCAAGGCCTTGTCTTACTTTCTTCAGCTACGGAAAACTGCCTGCTTAAGCTTCTAGATATAGCGAACCGTCGGTTAGCTTGCCAGGTACTGTACGACCGAGATCCTCGACTGGAAGGTGAGGGTTAGTGAAAGGGAGGTGAAGAACTAGTCGAGATTCCCACCCCCTCCTCGTCGTCGTCGTCGTCGAGATCACCCTTCTCCCCTTTCCCGCTTCGGCCACTAGATGGCCTCGACCCCACAATCACTCTCTCTCACTTGAGAGAAACTTACCAGCCCAGCTCGGATATTCAGCTCGCTCGAAACAATGTCTCTCGAGTTTCTCAGTTGTGATACCGCTTCAATACAGGAAAGCTGGACAAATCGTTAACTCGGAGAAATCCGAAGCTAGAGTCAGAGAAAGAGGCTTGGTGTGTCCCTAAATTTTCGTCGGATTTGTCTCAAGTTGTGGCACTTTGAGAAGGCCAGTCATCCTAGTACCACGTTGGGTAAGACGACCAGTCGTGTTGAGCGACAGTTCGCCGGTGCAGTGTGTGGAGAAGCATCCTTCTAAGTCGGTTCTCGCGACAGTTCCGGAAGAAGGATTGCTTGGCCGTTAGCCATTGCGTCCTGTTCTGGTCACACTAGAACAGGGACCGCTGGCGTGCGAGACGCTATTAAAGCGTAAACCAATACTTCCTCGGCCGGCTGGTAGAGAGCTGGAGACTTTGCCCGACTCTTTCCATGGCTTACCAATACGTACACCAAAAATACGTCTCCACGACGGGGTACCCCAGTTCGATCCTTCAAAACGAAATCTTCGTTAATATCTGAATCGATTACGACTCGCTTCTCCACCGGCCAGTAGACTTCGGTCCACTTGGTAAAGGAGAAACCGGAGGCTTAAGACTCAGAGTACGTTGCGTAGAGACCGCGAGCTGTTGCGGCGCTACCTAGCCAAGAAGCACGCAGAGAGGAGAGAGGAAAAGTAGAGAACAACGGTTCTTTTCAGGTCTACACACACAATCAGCCTTTTTCAGGGCTAACAAAATATAAACGTAAACAAGTTATCCGTCCCCACAATTGCATAAGCCTTTATTAGATACAGAACCGAACTTATCATAACAAAATTATGATTACTGAATGCAGGAAAGAAATAAGAATCCTACTTTATTATCATTCTACTTCAGCAACATGGGTAGTAACTTAGTGATAATGAAACTACAGTCTATTTGTTATTTATATATTTGTAGGATGTCACACGAAAAAAGTTTGAAAAAACACATAAGAACAAGACCTAAAACGCGAGAGGCACGTAAAAATATTAAATTGACATCGGGAAAAAGAATTCATTAAAGAACGTCTAAATAAACATTGAATTTTTATTACCTCCTTGTAAAGTTATGTAATAGGCTGGAAAATGAGATTTGGAACTAGACGTCATAGAAAAATTTAGGTTACATACGCGCATCCCTCATTATACGTGGCTTCTGTATACTCAGTTTCGTTACTTATATTAGTGGTTATTTATAAAAACCTAGTGTTAATTCAGAGGAAATCTTACATAAAATTCCAGATTTCTCTAGGGTTATTTAAAGTTTTGTAAAAAAAAAATAAAAAATGTCGGGTATAAATTTTTTCCTCCAAAGGTGAACCTTCATAAAAATATTTTTCATGAGGAAGCTAATGTATAACAATGTATTGACAGCGAATTTTTGCCGAAATAATCACGAAATTATCGGTACCGTACGATAGAAATAAACTTTTCAAATTCTGATCACAATCGAAAACAACGATAAAGAAAAAAGCCTCTGCTAATTTATTGGCAAGAAATTTTCTCACAAGATGATTTTTACTTATTGTTGAAATTAAATAAAAAAATTTATTTTCTACCTTGTAATTGGGTAAGAGCAAAGATTACACTAAGGAATTAAGGGCAAGGCTTGCCTCCAGATTTTATTATGGTCTCCGGACCAAAAATCTGGGGGTTTTTGGGTTTAATTTCCACTGGGCAAATATTCGTGAGCGTTTTTTCGCCTAGTTTAATAGAGCCTGAGCCTAAAGTGGAGCGGGTACCACTCAAAAAGAAGACCCAGGCTATGTCATTAGCCTCCGAAGCCGGTAAAAAACCCTGACCACTGTGCGAGCTGAAAGCGAAGAGGATAACCACAAGTAGAAGCCCGAGGCGAGGACTCACAAAACTGGCGATAGACGGGGAGCACAACTACCATGATGAAGTAAGAAACGAGAACCACATTCACAAGATGTTACTAGGCAGCGAGTTCTAAAATTTTTAACTCAGGAGGAAACGCTGGCAATGTGTGACCACGCAGTGGGGAACCATGGCTCCGGAAGTGGGATACGACAATCGAGAGATGGCACTGTGCCTAGTACGGAGGTTCACCAAAAAGAAAGATGAGTCCCTGAACCCCTAATCGTCGTGTATCACTATGCGACAGATGGGGGATGTATGGAAAAACGACCAAAAACATCGAAGCATCAGAAATGCTCAACTAATCCCGGCTTCACCAAAGCAATGCTTAGCGGCGGTTGATGATGAGTGTCCGAATGGAGTGAAGTAAGAAAAAAAACACACACACACACAAACACATACAGGCATGTGTTAGGAATTTAATCTAGTTTACAAATATGTAAACCAAATTGTCCTACGGGGTCTGGTCGAAAAACTCATATACAAACCCATCACATAGCTTCCTCTACGGAGGAAGTAATAAGTTCTTTGAGATTTAAGGTAGCTCCCCCTTTCTCCTGAGCATCAAAATATAAATGTAAATGTGTTCTCGAATAAGATTTTACAGAAGAACCTATATAAAATCTTATAAATAAGATTTTACATAAGCTTTTACATGGGATCTTATCTATTAGATCTTACACGGGAACTATATCATACCTTTTATCATATTTTCACTTAGCATAACAACAAAGTATGTAATAGCATATAAACACTTTTTGTAATACTCCACTGATATAATTTTTCAATTTTTTACATTAAAATTCCACATAGAAAATCAATCTGTTATGATTAATTTATGGTTTTAGTAACAAATTTGAAATCTTCCATCCTTCCACTAAAATCTCCTTATTTTATATTTTCTTTTTGCTCTTCAGAGTAACCTTACAAGAAAACCACCCCGGGTGCGGGTGACTAATTCTCCAGTATGCAAAGCCTATGAGATCAAACTTTGTATACTGGGCTTCATTACTTAGTACCAGGAAGTTACATAAAAATTTTAGTAAGAATTAGTCACCCGCACCCAGGGTCGTCTCCTTGTTGGTCCTTAACAGAGCGATGAGTAAATAAGTTTAAAGCGTAATTAATTTGTATTATTTTTTTATAGCTTGGGTGCAGCTTGTCCGAGTAATTATAACCCTGCAGATTATTTTATACAACTGCTAGCGGTTGTTCCCAGTAAAGAAGCTGCTTGTCGACATGCAATAAATACTGTTTGTGATAAATTTGCTGAAAGTGATGTTGGTTTAAAAATTCTGCATCAACTTAAAACTATTTCTAATGTAGAAGATGCAGCCTATGATTCAAAAAATGAAAACTTATACAATGCAATGACGTATAAAGCAAGCTGGTTTGAACAATTTAGAGCAGTATTGTGGCGATCGTGGATTTCGATTGTCAAAGAGCCAATTTTAATAAAAGTTCGACTTCTTCAAACAATAGTTAGTATTTTCCTTTATTATAATTTGTAAATTTTTATTTGTTTACAGTAATATTATTTCAATTTCATAGATACAACAAAACATTTATCCTAATCACTTAACATACTAGCTAGGTTACCACGATGAAATCAATTGAGAAATATATGTAAGAGACAAATGGCACTTGTTATGAGAGGGTATGAACAAACAACTAAATTTTGTTTCTGTAATGAGAGAAACGACAATTGAAGCTAATGTTCCTAACAATTTATATTACAATAATATTTACAAATTTATATGAGTGCAGGCAACCATTACAGTACCTTAATTACAATTTAAAGAAACTAAGTTTTTTTTAGATATGAGCGCGTCAAGCATAAGTCGGCCACCCCGCGCTATTACGGCAATTTTTGGCCAAAAGTGTCGTATCTCTAGCTCGCTCGCAAACGTTTACCAAAAGTCAGAAAAAAAATCCTAGCACATGGATCGATAGATTTTTTCCTCTTCTTTTTAGTGGTGTAACTCAAAAAATTTTTAAAAATTGGTTTTGAGATTGAAACTCGACTTAAATGTTTAAGTCGATTTATCTCAAATAAAATCACTTTGGAATGAATTTTTTTCTGAAAATTTGAACAATTTTAAATAAAAAAGGCTCATGGGTGATTTTACTTTTGAATCATTCTACACTGATCCAGGAATTATTTGAATATTTGTGATTTTTCATGAATTTCGAAAAATGCTGAAATGGCTAACCTTGGGCCTCTGTAAAAGTGTCATAGAAGGCCCCAATTTTTCGAAAGTTTTTTTGGGACAAATTTGACATCGAAAACAAGTTTTTCATATTTCCCGAAAAAGAAATTTTTTTTTGGATCTTCGGCTTCATAGAGAATCGGCCATGTAGGGGAGACCGGGGCAATGCTTGCACCCCGGCTATGTCTGTCACCCCCGATATTCATTTGAAAAAAAATCGTAAAATTATTTTGAAACGATAGGTTTATTTATTATAAATTAAGGTATCTTCTCAGAAAAAATCATTTTCGAAAAATGATTTTAACATCAATTTTATCGATTTGATGTACACCGACTCGAAAAATGTAAATTTCCAGGAGACACGTTTAAAGTTTTAGCAATAATGAAGACGTGAATGTTTTTTCTCCTTTCATAGAATCGCTGATGCCGGGTCCGTACAATAGACGGCTATCCTCGAGGATATCTAGAGCATCTTTCTGCTGTTGCCTACGTAAAATTCGACCCTCCTTGCTCTTTTTTCTGGATTTACGATCGGCTAGATTGATTCGATGACTGTTCTCGAAATCGCCCAATTATGAGAATTTGTTCCTAAGTGTATTCCCATACTTACCATGATGGAAAGCAGAGCAAAAATTCCGTCATTAAATGTGCATACGGCCTTCTACCTAATTGCTACCAAATTGGCTTATTTCTACCAAATTGGAAGTTCCACTCAAAATTTTTCCAAATAAGTTGGTTTAAACTCTTTTTATGATTTTGAGTGAAACCTCCGACACATCTCTGTAGAAGTGCATCACTACTCAAATCTTCGTATATTGTTCTTATAGCTTTCAAAAACTTCTTTAGGTAGAGCAGTGTAACTATGTTTGAATCCTCTTGATTTTTTTGCAGCAGATGACTTTTGCCACTCACACTGATATCCCTGAAAAGGGCCAAGACAGCTGCGCCAATTTTGCACACGCGAGCGCGATCAGCGCGACGAAGCCACGCGCGACCCCCCACTCCTGCGCCAGCGGCAGCGGCGGTGCGAGCCCACACCTATAAATAAGCGCGCGCGTCGCTGGTCGCACTCACTCGCTTTCTGAGCGCCAACCACGACACATCGTCGCGGAGAGAGTTGTTTAGGCTAGGGCCGAAACTCAATAAAGATTCTCGTTAAACTCAAGTCAGAGTTCCCGCCTCTTGATTTCTCACCTTAAATCACTCGACTCGGTCTCTCTCTTGGTAACCCTGTGAGCAGCGAATCCCAGCGACGTCGTCTACCTACTTTCCAACGTGGCTACGAGACAAGAGAGATCAAACAGTCCTTCTCAGGACTACCCATTCAACTTGAGTGAAACGAAGACGGCGGAAGTCGGCACGAGATACTCCCGGTTGCACGCCGAACGAACATCTACTGAACGTTTACGTTCCGTAGTGGTTATTCCTCCCGGGAGTGGACTATCCAATCCGCAGGTCAAGGACACCGATTCGAACATAGAAGCCAACGACGAAGACGTGTGCACACGTCATCCAACACGGCCACAGTTGTTCGTGCCACCGATCCGTGCCCCGAGACGACAATCGCCAGGCGTGCGGCAGCCACTTCCCTTGCCAGCACGAGAACGCCCGCTCTCGCCTTACCTGCGACTACACCCGCCAGTGCCCTTGCATTTACGCGAGTCGGTCAAGATACGGCTGGAGCCGTCAACAAGAGTGAGACGCATCTGTAGGCCTCCCAGCTCCCGACAGCACAGAGAGCGACCGACCTCGCCCCGACGACATTTCGGTGAGTTATTTCGCTCCACCGAAATCGTGACGACACCTCGACCGACCGACACTTTGGCCAAGCCGAAAAATCCTTCGACGCGTCGACGTGACGCGCGGCGCAAGGCGGCTTACTACAACAAAAAGAGGAAGGACGCAAAGACTCGGCGTCGATAGTGAATCAACACATAGCCCCATCGGCCCTTTTCAGGGCTACCAAGTCGTTTAACGTAGGGCGACTTGGAATTACTACAACAACACCATCAATCTACCCCGCTGGACATTTTTGATGTTTTGGATACTCATCCACAGAACTGTAGTGATGATATGTCGCCCAAATTGCAGTTCTCATTTTTTTCTACCGATTCTTGATTTCAACGTGTAGCCAATTCATGATATATGGTTAATTTATCAATCATTTTAGCAGTAAGCTTGCCTTTGCCAGATAGCAGTTTTCTTTTTTTTTCCAGTTGAAGTGACAGTATCTTCAACCGTATTTTTGACAAGCTCCCGCAGACGAGTACCTATTCTTTTTTGAACGTGTCCAAAACATTCTTTTTTATTGATTACAAAATCTTCGCCGTGCGATTTTGAATTTAAAACGCCAGTATAAGTCTTAGAATCACCGTCTCCAATGTAATTACGATACTTTACTTGATTATTTATTGAACGCTGAAACATCTCTTTTATCGCAGCAACTTACATGGCTCCAGAAGATCCAACGTGATTAGCGGCACATTTTTTATTATGTACGTGGTTTTCTTTCCACTCTTCAAACTCAGCAGTACCTAATTTATTTTCCCAGAACTTGCAATCGTGACAGTAAGTAATTTTAACCAAAACTTCAACCACTTTTACTGAATAATAACTTATCAATGAAGAGATACCGTACAATGAAGAAAATCCTCTTTTCTTCCAAGTTCCATCGCCAGAAACTGTGAGCTCTGATGTATCTTTAAGATTATTTTCCTCGCATGTAGCAACTTTTTCTTCGTTGATAGCAGAAGAGAGAAATTTCTTTGTTACCGTTTTGGAATTGAATTCCCCTTTTAGCCCTACTGACTTTTCGTCCCATCGTGAGTGAAATGATATTAAAATATAAATTTTTCCAACGATAATTTCGATTCGCACTTTTGCTTAACTGTTATTAAAATATTCAGTAAAGTGTACCCTATAGGAAAAGATCAGGTGATAAATAAGGTGAGAAATCAAGTAAAAAATCATGCCAAAACATCAAGTTAGAAGTCACCTGATTTGTCACCTGATTTTTGATAAAATGATTGTATTTTTATGCGTTCTAGATTGCATACAACGTAGTATTTTTAGATCAACAAACATAAAAATTCAGTGTGTTGTTTTTAGGTGTATCAAAACAAATAATTATTAAACAAATTTATAATTTAAAATTTTTTATTATAAAAAACAAAAATTAAAATGAATGATAATCAAGAAATGCATGATAATCATTTTTTGCGTCTCTTATTGCGTAACTCAAACGCTCGTTGTTTTCTAACTTAAAATCATCCTTTTCCCTTTGTTGCAATCTCCTGTAACTTCGATGACTGTTCAAGAAGTCCCATATTGTTGCTGTAAAAATTAATAATATTTTAATATGTTATTAGTATTTATTTTGATGATCAATAATGTTGTAATTTCTCTGTCGAGATAAGCTTTCTCGGGTTTCTTTCAGACGAACATTCCACGTGGGCATTCGTATGGTTAATAGCCATATACTGTAAAGATTCGATGTAAAAATAGTGCAACAATTTCCTTACAAAAAGGGAATATTTTTTTCTCTTTATTATCGACCAACACTTCTTTCCAACTGAAATGTCTAATCCAAGATCAATCTAAAAAAAAAAACGAATAAATGCTTTCTAAACATATTTTTTTGTGCGTGCGCGTGTGAATAATAATAATGCAATTTAGTAGCAGGGTAAACCTACCAATCCCTGAACGACCTCCCCGGCTTAAAATAAGGATATCCGAATGATATCCGAAATGATATCATTCAGGATAAAATGTGGGACTCAATAAATAAATGTATACATAATATATTTTGATTTTTATTTAATCAGATGATGCGATAGGAATTTCTATCTTCGATTTACATACACACAAAATGTTTATATTTTTTTAAAATAGTTAAATAATGATTAATAACTAAGAATCACATTTTAATCTTAAACAATAAAAAATTATATAATATTTTGATTTTTATTTAATCAGATGATGCGCGATAGGAATTTCTATCTTTTATTTACATACACACAAGATGTTTATATTTTTCTCAAATAGTTAAATAATAATTAATAACTAAGAATCACATTTTAATCTTGTAACAATGAAAAAATAAATATGTATGTTTCATTTTAGATAATCGTAACAAATTTTTAAAAATGATAATCTAATGAAACATTAAATTTTAATAAACAAAACGTAATTAAGATGAGTGCGAAGAACTCTCTTGAGAATCATCTTCTTCGGTACCAGAGGAATCGTCTGACTGTACCTGCTTAACTAAA